TTCCCCAAATCGATTTTCATTAATTTTATGTTTACTATTCAGTGCCATTAAAATAGTTTTAACTCTTCGAAGCAACTCCTTGTCGATTCCAGTTATTTTTGAAGTAATTTCAAAATCACGAAAAAACCTTCTCGACGTATTACCGTCATTTGTACTACCGCAACTTGAAAGTGGTTTGTCGATGTTTAATCCCATCTGAACTTTAAATTCTTCTTGGATTCTGCTTTTTTCCGCAGCTCTCAGTTCTTTCAATTCTTCAATATTTTTTGTTGATTTAGTAGGATAGTTTGTTTTTTTTTTCCTGGATCGCCTTGTATGATGGAAATATATTGTGTCCTTTTTCATGCAGAGCTTTCCTTAATATTTGGTACTTATTTCGACTGAGACCCAGTTCCAACATAAGCGCTATTGCTTCCTCTTCAGTAAAATTTGATTATGATGTTGGAGTTGGTATACTTTCCACAATTCGCTTAAGTCGTTTTGGTGATGCATTAGGAAGAATAGTTGCAATATGTACGACATCCATATGTTGGTTTTCCTTTTTCAGCATTTCGTTAAATGTATCAGCAATTTCCTCATTTGAGATTGAAAAAAGTTTTTGTGTGACCTTCTTTTTTTTACCTTGAACATAAGTCTTCGTATGACTTGCAAGGCGCTCCTATTGATGTGTTGTAAGTTGAGATTTCCGTAGTAGTTTCCATCCAACTACAAAATTTTAATCGAAATTTCTTTTGATTTCCATCCACAGACTTACTTTTTACATCAAAAAGTTTTAAAAAGTTTTCAATTTTTGATATGCCTGTTTTGTCTACTTTTCTACTATATGTAGTTTTTATATAATTTGAAATGTCTTCAATTCTTTCTGGCCCTTTTGAAGATATACTCCATAAAACGGAACACAACTCGTCGTACTTTAATGTAATCTTCATTGTAGATTTATTAAATATGGTACTTAAAATCTGAGAAGTTTACTTATATACCAATTCTTGTCATTTCCGATACAGGTATTCCAAAGTAAAAAATTACGAATTGTCTACCTATTAACATTTAGGACTATATTACTATAACCTGTAATTCAGTCATTGATATTTCTTATTAGTGAATGAATCGAAATTATCATTACCTGTATATTTTTACCTACATGATCATAAACGAAACAGAACGAAATGATCTGTCGAAAAAATTTAGGTAAAAAATAGTTATAAATTTTTGAAAATTTAAGCATAATAGGACCTTTCAATTATAAGGATAAGCAAACAAATAGGTAAATATAAGATTTAAATATGTGCTGTCATACTTAATGCTAAAATATGAAAAAGATGAAATTAAAGGACACAGGTTTAAATGAACATATTATTGAATGTAATTGAGATATTGGCTTGAAATTTTTTGTAAAGGGTCGAGAATTTCCATATCTAACTAAAAAATTATATTAAGGGATAAATATGGACTAAATTGTTGTAGCTATCTGCGATCCTATTAAAATTTTGATATAAATCATAGTTTTAGAAATTAAACAAATATGTAATATATGACAAAATCTTTATTTATGAACAAAACTCAATGAAATTTTCAACGCTTGTTAAATTTGTCATTTCAAATAAGAATATGCAAAAAAAAAATTGAAAAGGTCAAAGGGCATCCCGCAATTCCTAAAAATAGGAATGAAAATCCCAAAAATGGGATTTTTTACTTTTTTGCCCATAGGGTCCACATTTCTTTCAGGGCTGGGAAAATACTTTTGGAGTAAATAGAAAACATATTGAGGTTTCCAAAACTGCTTTCAGTTTTCTGATCCCAGCTTTGGGATTTTAGAACATGTCGCCCAAAGTTGAAGTTTTGATAAAAAATAGGTCATATTCGGAAGGACGCAGTGGCAACATTTTCAAAAAATAGGACAAGTTTTTTACGCCAAAGCGTTCTGCGTAAAGATACCTTTTAGAAAACTATAAAATTGTTATATGTTCTTAATAAAAATTTTATTTTTTTAATAAAAGAGTTAAGACACATTTTTGGCAAAAAAAAACGCCAAAAATCTAAAATTTTTTGAATTTTTAGATTAAAAAACGTATATTTTTGGATCTGTAAACAATATTGATCCGAAATTTTTTGTATATTATTGGAAATTTTGTTGTCTAACTAACAAGAAAAAATTGAGTCCATTTGGTCCAAAATTACGCCCGGTATTCAAAAAAAGGCGGACCAAGGTATGGTAAATTTTGTATCACTAAATTTTTAAATGCCTATAACTCGGATATTATAAGAGATAAGTAGTATGTCCAAGCATGTTTTTTCAAGATCTCGTCGAGCGCTTTCACAAAATATAAAAATCTTTGTATTTGGGTGAAAAACAAAAAAATGGCACGAGTTTAAAAATTTTACATGTCGTAGGTACCCTACTTTGAGCCGCCACAGCGCCGTCCCTGGGGCATCTGCAGGATTCATCTTCAAAACTTAAACTTGAATACTCCTTGGCTACGCTCACGCCAAATTTTATCCCGATCGGATCAGCCGTTTAGAAATGCCAGATTTATTTCCAAAAAATTTCCATTCTGCCCCACTGTGCACAGTACGTTCTTAAAAAACCGAAATTTAACTCCGATTTCTTAAGACTTACAACATAAACTTTAAAATTTGGATAATTCTATATATTTCCTTTAATATAAACAGGTTTTCCAAATATTCCGATTTCCAAAGCATACAATAATGCTAACAATCATATCTTGATATACTCGATACAATAACCATGTTTTATGGATCGGACATTTTATTTGTTCTAGCAACAAATTAAGATGTATCCGTGTTCAAAATTGTTCAATTCGTATTCATACCACCAATTGAGCCTGATTTAATATAATAATCATTTATAATTGGACAATAATCAATTTCAGAACCGATATGTAGTGTATGTTATTGACATGGTCACCATTTGACAATTATTGGTAGTATTTAGGAGTGTGTAATGGATGATTGGAACTAAAAAACTTGTTTTAATTAATGGATACTAGTACAAATATTATTAATATCGCATTATAAGATATAAATTTAGGAAATTGCCGTTAAATGTCGAATATGAACGCATTACTATGTTAATGTTCCGCAATGGATTGCAATTATTGTGAAGAAACAATTAATTTAAAAGTTAAAATATCGTCTTCCAATGCATCATAATGAACAGACGAGGGATATTATTGAATACCCGATCCAAAACTCCGGCGGTTTAAATAGCCAGATGTTCTTAAATACGAAAAAATGCTCTTATAAATATTATTCAGATCAATTATCAAAAATTTCAATTTTTCGGAACAAAAAGTGAATTTTTTGCATGTTATAGTATACAGAATATTTTATTATAAAATAATTACATTCAAACAGGTAAAATTTTCATGAATTTTGTTAATATCATTAAGCCAAATACATATTGAAATTATGTGTATACTTATTTTTGTGACGTAAATTTTGCACCTATTTAACTACACCTTAAATAAGAACTCAAGTAACCAAAATAACCCGGAAAAAAGTAGTGAATAATAATTATCATAATTGTTTTTAAAAAATGTGTTACTTTTTTAAGTTTTGAAAAAATAATATCCTTCTTTAAATAAAACCAATTGTTAGTATTTCTGTATACTTATTTTTGAGATTAACTGTATATAGGATTGTCCTAAGCAGTTTGGTATTAAAAACCATCAAAATCGGTTCATCGGGTTTCCTAATTCTTAAGAAGTTTTCTCAGAAATTATCAAAGATAAATATTTCGATGAGTTTTGTCAGATATTATTTTTTAAAGGCAGGTATAAATTATGTTCAAAATCATTACAATCGATTCAAAATTTCCCATAGCCTCCATACATATTCCCGGAAATTGCTTTATCGTTAATAACTCCCTCAAAAATATCGGTATCAACACAAAATTGTGTACATATAAACATAATACGAACGGAAATCACACTACCAACGTCGATCTGTATCGGTCTACCATTGGTCATAGCTTCCATGTAAGGTCCACTTCCGAAAATCACTTAAACGTGCATATTTCATAGATAAATAAAACTATTATGATAAAATTGAATACAAATATGTTTTGCCTATATGAATTTTTTCCGGATAGGCTTGCAATTGGTCATAGCATCCATATAAGGTCCACTTAAGAAAATCACTTAACTATAAAGCTATCGGGATAAAATTCGACTTGAATATGTTTTGTGTGCATATAAATAATTATGCGAAATTTTTTTCCGAATTGGTCCATAATTGGTCACAACACCCATAAGGATCATTTCCTAATATTACTTAAACGTACATTGACATAAGTGTGTATTTTGTATATATAAATCATTATACGGAATTTTTCCGGATCGGTCCATAATTGGTATTATCTCCCATATAAGGTTCACTTTTGAAAATGACTTATTTCATTGTTAAATGATTATATCCGGATAAAATTTGACATGAGTATGTTCTGTGTATAGATAAATCATTCAGCTAAAATGTTTTCGGTCCATAATAAGTCGTAGCACCCTTACAAGGCCCACAAATGTTAGTACCCTCACTACGGAAACAAAACTTATGTCGAGTTATCTAGCTTGGTGGTGGAGGGTATTTAATATTCGGCACTGCCGAATATAAATTGTTTCGTTATTGTGTTTTAGTTTCGTGTGTACTCATCCGACCTTTGCTTACAATGTCGGTTGAGTTGGACCTATCGTACGGCCTAGGCCATCGCTTTGGATTAGTCGTATCTACATTGTCTTTGGTATCAGATGGCAGATGTATGTGGAAAAAATTCCACTGGGTAGGTAACGCTGCTTATGAGAAGCCCTTGATGAGAATATAAAAAAATTATTTAAAGCAAGAAAACAATGCTTGAAAACAGAAAATTTCGCTATTACACTAGATTCTCAAGTGCTTAATACAAATTAAATTTCGACAGATTTAAAGGTGCAATATTATGAACAAACTGACAGTTCGATTGTTTGAAAACATTTTTAAGAACTTACTTCTGCAGAGCACAGGAGCTTTCGGTAACAGCAGCTAATTTATTCCAATAACTACCAAAGCTAGCGTGTAGTTTCCAATTTATCTGAAAACAATAATACCAAAAATGTTACTTTGTACAATATTCAGGAAGTTAAATTAATTTAAAAAAGTAAAACTCAAATGGCGACAGTTTTCAATTGTGGACCGGCGCACGCCACAGTACACAGTGGTATAGGAAAAAAAAAAGAGGGAAATAATTCGGTAACTTCTAAACGGTTAATCCGATTTTAATGAAATTTGGTATGCACAAAGAGGAGGTGTTGTCGAGTTTAGGTTTTGAATTAGGACCTTATAGGCCAACCAGGGGCCCGGCGGGGGGGTCCTCAAATTAGGACACCTCGGCTATGTTAAATTTTTAAAACGATCCTATTTCGGGGGGTCCTCAAATTAGGACACCTCGGCTATGTTAAATTTTTAAAACGATCCTATTTCTTCATTTGAGTTCCGATTTAAAAAAAATTTCGTATATAGAATCTCCTCATCGAGCACCATAAAAATAAATTATCTCTTATAGTTTAGGAGATATTCGCATTTGAAAATTAAAATTTTAAAATTTTTACCGTCCTTACTTTAGTTTTTTTGATAATAGCGGGTCCAAATATTCCCGATTTTCGCCATTTTTTTTATTCGCTTAAGAACAAGTTTATATATCAAGCAGTGAAAGAATTATGTAAAAATCATGACTGAGTCCAAAGTTATAGGCATTTTAATTTAAAAAATAAAAAAAAGGCGATTTTTTGTCATTTTTTGGGAAAAAAGTATCTTTTTCTTTTTAAGTTATCTAAAAAGTTTCTAAGAAGATGTATATAGAATTTATACTTTTTGGAAAGCTGACTTTACATAAAGTACGATAAATGAAACAAAACCTAAAAATTTTTGATACCGAGGGGACCAGGTCCATCCAAAAAAATCCTATTTTTTATGGAAAATTCAATTTTGAGCAAAAATTCTCAAATCGCATAGTCGATATCAAATTATAGTGACCTGTTTTATATGACCCAATATGTTCTTAATCATTTTGTAACGGATTTCGATAACCCCGCCCCTGGTATGGATATAATAGGCAAAAAACCAAAAAATCCCATTTTTGGGATTTTTTAAAACTTTTTTGGGAATTCCGGGATTTCTAATAATAAAATTCGAAATTTTTTTTAATTTTGGATTTTAAGTAAAAAAATCTACCTAACTGTAAAATTTCATCAAAAAATATTCATAAATAAAATTTTTATTGCAATTTGAAAAATTTGTATCTTCGCAAAAACTGAATAAAAAACATTTTTTGATTTTTTTTAAAAAAAGTATTCCGCGAATTTTTTAATTTTCAAAAATTATATACAGTTTTGAAAAATAGACAAAATTACTTTTCCATTGATATATAACATGCCTACCTAATGTTTTTTAAGTGACAAATTAATTAGGGAAAACTAAACATCTTTTAGAAAATTTACCTAGCACTATTATTTTCATCCATATGGATATGTAACAAATTTAAGAGTTAACCTTATGGATGAAAATAATAGTGCTATGTAAATTTTCTAAAAGATGTTGAGTTTTCCCTAATTAATTTGTCACTTAAAAAACATTAGGTAGGCATGTTATATATCAATGGAAAGGTAATTTTGTCTATTTTTCAAAACTGTATATAATTTTTGAAAATTAAAAAATTCGCGGAATACTTTTTTTAAAAAAAATTAAAAAATGTTTTTTATTCAGTTTTTGCGAAGATACAATTTTTTCAAATTGCAATAAAAATTTTATTTATGAATATTTTTTGATGAAATATTACAGTTAGGTAGATTTTTTTACTTAAAATCCAAAATTAAATAAAAATTTCGAATTTTCTTATTAGAAATCCCGGAATTCCCAAAAAAGTTTTAAAAAATCCCAAAAATGGGATTTTTTGGTTTTTTGCCTATTATATACATACCAGGGGCGGGGTTATCGAAACCCGTTACAAAATGATTAAGAACATATTGGGTCATATAAAACAGGTCACTATAATTTGATATCGACTATGCGATTTGAGAATTTTTGCTCAAAATTGAATTTTCCATAAAAAATAGGATTTTTTGGATGGACCTGGCCCCTCGGTATCAAAAATTTTTAGGTTTTGTTTCATTTTTCGTACTTTATGTAAAGTCAGCTTTCCAAAAAGTATAAATTCTATATACATCTTCTTAGAAACTTTTTAGATAACTTAAAAAGAAAAAGATACTTTTTTCCCAAAAAAATTACAAAAAATCGCCTTTTTTTTATTTTTTAAATTAAAATGCCTATAACTTTGGACTCAGTCATGATTTTTACATAATTCTTTCACTGCTTGATATATAAACTTGTTGTTAAGCGAATAAAAAAAAATGGTGAAAATCGGGAATATTTGGACCCGCTATTATCAAAAAAACTAAAGTAAGGACGGTAAAAATTTTAAAATGTTAATTTTCAAATGCGAATATCTCCTAAACTATAAGAGATAATTTACTGCTACGACGACATTTTTTATAGTGCTCGATGAGGAGATTCTATATACGAAATTTTTTTTAAATCGGAACTCAAATGAAGAAATAGGATCGTTTTAAAAATTTAACATAGCCGAGGTGTTCTAATTTGAGGACCCCCCGCCGGGCCCCTGGTTGGCCTATAAGGTCCAAATTCAAAACCTAAACTCGACAACACCTCCTCTTTGTGCATACCAAATTTCATTAAAATCGGATTAACCGCTTAGAAGTTACCGAATTATTTCCCTCTTTTTTTTTCCTATACCACTGTGCAGTAGACCAAATACGTAATCTAGCGCGAAATTGGTCGACAAAATTTATGTTTTTAAAATATAATTTGTATTTCTTTTATACTTACCATCAGTGTTGCCACTTTGGTTATTATTAACCAAAATTGGTTATTATACCCACCATAAAAAACATATTGTATATTGATTTTGTCACTTCGTTTGTAACACATCAAAATATTGGTCGTAGACTATATTCTGGATCCCTATTAAATTCTAAGACGATCTAGCCATGTCCGTCTGTCTGTTAAAAGCAAGATAGGGTTCAAACGGAAAGAGCTAGAGAGTTAAAATTTTTCACAAAAAATTCCTTATAGGTAATGTTTGTTTGGTATTGCAAATGCAATATCGGACCACGATTTCGCATAGCCCCCAAAAACAGCTTTAAAAGTCAAAACTGGTTTAAAAATACGAGTATGGCTATGAAATTCGACATAAATAAATTATATAAGCCAAAATCTCTCTACCAAATTTTATGAGGATCGGTCCATAATTGACCCTATGACATTATTACTCATTACCGGCTTACAAATATGAATATAGCGATGAAATTCGATATAAATAAGTTTTATATAAGCCAAAATCTCTCTACCAAATTTTATTGGAATCGGTCTATAATTGACCGTACCCCCCATACAAGGTCCCCTTCAGAAAACGACGTCTACTCTCATTGCTGGCTTAAAAATACGAGTAGAGCGATAAAATTCGACATGAATAAGTTTTATATAAGCCAAAATCTCTCTACCAAATTTTATCGGAATAGGTCCATATAAGGTCCCCTTCAGATAATGACATTAACGCTCATTACCGACCTAAATATACGAGTACAACGATGAAATTCGACATAATTAAGTTTTATATGCATCAAAATTTCTCTACCAAATTTTATGTGGATCGGTTCATAATTGATCCTACACTCCCCATAAGCTCCCTATCATTACCGCCTTAAAAATACTAGTATAGCGGAGAAATTCGACATAACCAACTTTTATAGGAACGTAATCTTCTTACCGAATTTAATGCGGAATGGGTCGGTAACTCACCCTACACCCTATTACGGCCCCCTTAAAAATATGAGTACAACGATGAAATTTGACAAAAAATTGATTTTATACAAGATAAAATGTCTCCATCAATTTTTTTGAGAATTGCTCCATAATTGAACCAACTTTCCTCTTAAGGTCTCCTTCAAAAAATTATTTTAACGCTCAAAAATAAGGTTTAACAAGTAAGAAAGTATAGTCGGGCGTGGCCGACCATATGATACCCTACACCAGTTATGAATATTAAATGTGATTTATTTTTCATAATAAAGCATTTATCTTCAATATTCCCTTGTTCCGATACATTTAAGCAATTTATGGATGAAAAACTTATTTTCTGAAAGAGGCTTTATATGGGGGCTAGGGGCAAATATGGACCAAGCCCGATAAAATTTTGTGAATATATTTATATTTACATAATATTTTATTGTGCTGAATTTCATCGCGATATTTGTGTGCGTGCCAAATTTCATCCAATTATCTTGAAAATTGCGACTTGTACCTTGCGCGCAAGGTTTACATGGACAGCCAGACGGACGGACGGGCATAGCTTAATCGACTCAGAAAACGATTCTAAGCCGATTGGTATACTTTAAGGTGGGTCTAGGACGAATATTTTTGTATGTTACAAACATCAGCACAAATCCAATATAACCTCCCCACTAAAGTGGTGTAGGGTATAAAAACAAGTAAGAGTGCTATATTCGGCTGAGCCGAATCTTAAATACCCTCCACCAGCTACTTTTATATTAATACGTTTTTAATTGATCAAATATTTGTAGAAATAAGTTTTCTCATGTCCTAAATAGAAAAACCCCAAGATTTAAACAGTTAAAATCTGTTACATTCAAAGATTTATTGAACATTACAAACCCCATTTTCTTTTATATTTTTATAGCGCCCTAAGATATGCTTTAACGATATTTAATAATGTGCATGTGTGTGAAAGATTTAAGGATTTTCAAAATACATAAATGTATATAATTTTGTTCTACACAAATTGATAATGCAACTAGTTAAATACGGTTAAATTGCTTTTAGGGGCAGGACCTAGTATGGGAGATATGACAAATTATAGACCGATCGTAAAAAATTCTTTAAGCTAAATTTCTGTACATAAAAACTATATTTCAGTAAAATATTGTATCTATATCGTAATTTAGTAATAAGTAATGAGTGTTCAAGTGATTTTCTGAAGAAAACCTTGTATGGGACCGA